ATTATTATTATTATTATTATTATTATTATTATTATTATTATTATTATTATTATTATAATTATTAAAAACTTATCACTCCCTTTTCATAATTTTAATATTATACATTATAATAATAATGATAATAATAATAATAAAAAATAATAATAATAAAAATAATAATAATAATAATAAAAGTATTGCTCAAAATTGAAGATAAATATTGTCTTCTTTAAAAAAAATCTTATTTTAATTTAACTTACGTATTGACGTTATTATTATTATTATTATTATTATTATTATTATTATTATTATTATTATTATTATTATTATTATTATTATTATTATAATTATTAAAAACTTATCACTCCCTTTTCATAAAAGAGTATTGCTTCTGCCGCTTGAATAATATATCAAGAAGCTATTAATTAATTTAAAAAATAAATATATGTATAAATCTACCGAAAAAATAATTTAGACAAGTCTATAAATAATAATAAGTTAATTGAAAAAGAAAAAAAAAATCAGACTTGTGAAGAAATAAATCCAGAAGATGACGCTGCAGTTGGTCCAAGACTTAAAGATGAATCGAAGACGAAGATTGCTAGTGTTGAGTAGAATTTAGACGTACATACCCATTCCGTACATGGAGCCCCAATCGACGCCCTGGAAGCTGGACATGTCAACGTTAGTGAGAGAGTAGCCTTGGTAGGGGTTCCCGGGAGCTGCGGCGGCTTGCTGGGGCGCTGTGTTAGCGGCAGTAGGTGGCGCTGGAGCCTGAGGGGGCGCTGCGACAGCAGCCGCAGGAATTGGGTAGGGAGCGTAGCGGTAAGCGGACAACGCCGGGTAGCTGCTGGCAAAGAGCTTTCCGTAACCGGCGACGGCGTTTTGTACTTGTGCTGCCGCCGCAGCCGCGGCGGCAGCTTGAACTTGAGCTTGGGCTTGTGCGGCGACGATCTGAGACGCTGTCGCCACCTGTAGGGGCGGCTGAGGCGCTAACCTGACACCCAGCGCGCCCAAAACTACTCTTTTGCCCAGCGCGAGGGCGCTTTGTTGAACCGCTTCTTTTGGCTGGGCTTTTTTGCACTCGACTTTCTTGTTCTTTATTGTGTGGAAGTGGATCTCGCAAACTCGGTCGACTACGTCCTCGTTTTCGAAAGTTACAAAGCCGAATCCGCGATGTCGCTTTGTTTGCTGGTCCATCAGCATCACGGTTTCTTCAACCTTGCCGAATTGGTTGAAGTAAGCCTTAACTTCGTCGCTACTCGTGTCCTGGCTTACGCCCCCGACGAAGATTTTCTTTGTTCGGTTAGCTTGCTTAGCTCGGTTTTTAGGAGTCGCGTGCTTTGGATCTATTTTCTTACCGTCCAGAGTGTGGATTGGGCACTTAAGTACTTTGTCCACGCTTCCAGGTTCTGCGAATGTTATGAAGCCGAATCCACGACTCCGCTGGAATTGCGAAAGAAGGTATGTTAAGTTAAGTTAGAGCGGCGAAGTGGTATCACTCATTCTTAACAGCTTGGGCCGATCAGGGTTCGAGCCCAGTCTCGGGTAAAAGCATTATTTTTTATTCTCAAGAAAATTAATATTCTCAAGCTAATATTACATATCTTAATTCTATTTATTTAATTTAAAAAAATTTTCAGGATTAAGAAATTTTAAAAGACAAAATATTGATTGAAGTATTAACCTTATTAACGTTATTCGTAAACTGTGGAAAAATAAATTAACAAAATCTGTCGAGAAGTTTCACCGAGAAACTACCTTAAAATTTTTACCGACAAAAACTTTATTTTAATTAATGGTATTGAATAAATAGAATTTAGATATTAATGTTAGCTTGAGAATATTAATTTTCTTACAAATAAAAAATAATGCAACTTTAACCCGACGACTGGGCTCGAACCCTGATCGAACTGCGCTGTTGAGAATAAGTGATACCACAACGCAACTATTCACATCAGATATATTATTTTAGTTATTAATTTAATGGAAATTTTTCTTCTACTACCAAATAGTAAGAGCGTGAATTTTTTGACAAATAAATAACTCTAGAAATAAAAAATTTTGCTTAAATATTTTAATACCAGTAATTTATCTATTGACAAAAAAAACAAATTTCAATGTCCAAGATATAATTTATTTAAAAGAATAATAATTCAAAATTAAGACCTCTAATTTGGATTTATCTTTTTAGATCGTTAGCTATAATTTATTCAAATTTAAACGCTTGTTCTTACCATCAATATTAACAACCAATGTGTCGGATGTTTTTAAATAAATGATCGATGCTCCGATCCCAATAAATTAAACACAATCGATAGTCCGGCGTGGATGTTTTTTACCAACATCGGGCATCCCTACAATCTTAACAGCTCGATCATTTGAAACTAATTACCTCTGTAGCTCCAAGATAAATAAGTTACCGACTCAAAGAAGAATTACCAATTCTACGGAATGATAAAGGAATTCACGGCTTACGTTAACACGTGCTCCCTTATATGCTGTCAGCTCTTTTCTTTTGGATATTTATTAGTAACATGGATTTAATTAAAACTTCAGCGAAGCCATTGAAAAATTCCGACTTGAATTAATCGGAACAAGTCTTAAGCTCACCCGTCGAATATTTCCTTTAAACCCCGGGAAAATTCTAATTCAATAACTGAAACAAACCTGAGTAACTGGATCCTTCATTATCAAAACATCTGTTACGGTTCCAAACATCCCAAAGTACTCTCTGAGTTTCTCACTGCTAGTCTGCCATGACAGTCCTCCAACAAATAATTTACCAGGAGCCGGGTCACCGCTGTTGGGTGTGCTTCTGCCGGAGCTTCCAGAGTGGCTGCCGTTTATTGGCACTAGAGTATTGTGAAAATCGTGGTCTATCGCACCGTTCGCAGCCTCCATGCCAGCGCTAAAACATACAATTTACCTTTTTTTACAAACTAAAACTACTTCTTTTTTTTAATTATTAATTAAATGCACTAAGTACTTTCAGAAATCCAAATCGACATTAATCTAACCTAAAGGAAATTATTTTAATTAATTTTGTATTTTATTTTCAGGTTTGGCCATTAATTGGTGTACAATTTGGTGTCCTCGTTGGAGTTACCTACATAATCTACCATAGAATGTTTCTTACTACTATTGACGTTCAGTAAGTACTCAAAAATATTATTAGTATAACAATTACAGTAATAATAATATTAATAATTAATAAATAACATTACAGGTTAAGTCAAAAAATTAATCAACGATTTGAAGTATCTTCTAAGCCAGGATTCATTGATTTGAGAAATCCTCGACTATTAAGGGTAAGATTTTTAATACTTTTAAAAATCACCAACTAAATTTTAGGATTATTTTCAACAAATTACCTTTAAAAAAAAATTCCACCGAGTTTTAATGAATTTTTTAAAATTATAAAATTGCCAGATCATTTAAAACTTGTGATATGAAAACTAACGATTTAAATGTAACTAATCGTTGGAATCGTTGATTTTTAGGCTACACTGAGAGAAAAATCTGGTTCTCTGAACTAGCAAAATCTAGTTAAATAGCATCGCCACTATTTAATTGAAGTTCTTATACCTAAAATAATAAATTATATTGAACCCCAATAGATAGTTACTTAAACAATTTTTAGTTAAATATGGGCTTAATAGTAATCTTTATAAACTTTAATTCAGAAAACAGAAAAAATAATTGTTACAGCCCGGACCGGGAATCGAACCCGTATCTTTTGGTTGCGCACCAACGGCTCGGACAGTTAAGCTATCTTCGTCGTCCGTAACAACCTTTAGTCACCTAATTATTTTTTTTAACACGATAACAGAAAAATATTTATTTAAATACAGTCCATGTAACTATTTATCAATAATTACTTAACCTAATGCATAGTTCGAGTAACTACAAAAAAAACGTTTAGAAATATTTTAATAATGCCGTTATAATTCAGCTATCCACTTTTCTCTCAGTATATATACTTTTTGATCAATAATTTTTCAATAACTAATAATTATCTATAAAAAATGCAAGGTATCTGTTAAATTCCATCAGATCAATCCAATCCAACAAAATTCCATAAATAATCAGAAAATCCTCTATTAAATCATCAAGATTAATTTTTTCCTTGAACTTGTCTATAATTATCAAAGAAACAAACCCGATGAGAATAAGAACCAAGAAGAATAAGAAAGCAAGTCGTGCTTTTACAGTAAAATATGTAGTATAGTAAATTTTAGGGTGAGATAGCGCACAGCTGGTGGATCAATACACCCTTCTCGCCCTCCAATACTCCCTCACCCGCAAGCTCACCAGTTTCCATCTCTGTCTGGGTTTCTATCAGTGGGGGGTTGTCGCGTACCTTTTTCACCCTCCGTACCAACCCGGGGAGGGAGCTCCTACTACCAGTGGCGCTCCCTTTCCGTTGCCAGGACGTCGGTAGCTGGTGCTTTAGCTACCTCAATGTGTGAGTTAGCAAAAGAACAGGGTGGGAGGAACAGAGGGTAAGCAGGGGTACCGTCGCCACTGAGCGACGCAGTGCCGTCGGGACGCTCAAACTAGCAACGTTAGACTAGCAATCGCGGAGTAGAATTCAACCTAAGCTCGGTTAGTTATCCTCAAATTGTTTACGAGACTTGATAATTATTTTTTTAATCTCACTATACATCTGCAGTGGCGTCCGGAATATTGTCCTGTCACAGCAGTACGCATTTAACAAGTTACTGGTGTGATGGGACATTGTCCTGGATCCATTGCTAATCATCTGCTTCAATCCAACACCAAGAGGAGTGCTTCAAGTGGTTTAATTTTTACATTGTAATTTATTATTAGAATAGTCTGTAAGAGTATGAATGTAATCTCATCTGTAATTATTAATATTGTATGTTAGAATTTCGGAACCACCCCAAATTCCTTGTTAATTAAAATGGATTATAGTGAGAGTATGAAAAAAGAAAAAAAAAATTGTGATATTCATATGGTCGATATCTGAAGGGTGTGCCTCATTAATTATTTAAAAATTGTGAAGATATCGATTAGTGGATTTAAAAAGTGGTATTATTTATAAAGATAAAGATTAATTGATTGGTGGATAAACGGGCGAGGCTCCTGATTCCTGTTGGAGGATTCTAAAAGGGGTTGTAACCCCGAGAGAGAAAGAGTAGCTTGTCGATGCAAGGGTGTGGAAGAACAGCGCTTGTTCAGGGCACCGACCCAAGGTGGCGCCACGTATTTAAATAAAATAGACTATTTTGTTGTAAATATTTAAGTGACAGACTTTGTGTCTTAGATATACATGTCTTGTAGAGTAGAAAAATAAATAAAAATTTATATTAATACATAGTTGTGTAGATATTCGTTTTTAACGCACTTTTTGTCTAGATTTTTAATGTGTAGAGTATTTTTATAGATTTTTTTTTCATGCAATACACGTGCTTTGTTTTTTAATATTAAGTAGAATTATTTCGTTTTAGTCCGACGGATTTTCTAATATTTACTCTCCCTCTATCTTTATTCCGCGGCAATCCGATCAATACAAGGGGCTACAATTAATCTACGGGGGTTCCACCCTCGTAGACAGATGGCCGGAATAACAGCATGCCCTCCTAACCCCCTTCTCGCCCACGCCAATTATTTATAACAACAAAGATTCGCTTTAATTACAATCTTTATTAGGGAAATTTTTCTTTGTTGGGAATTATTCAACCCTTAAAGTCACGAGTTTGTTCAATCGATCACGGAGAAGAAGGTGCTGTCGATAAAGAAGCGATCCAAGGTGAAAGGAGATATTACTGTTTTATCGGATTCAAAGCGGGTTACTTTATCGACCTTTAGTAAACGAAAATATACCGAGGTGGTAAACTAATTGATTAATTTGCGTTTTGATATTAATTAGGTAAAAAAAAAAAAAAAAAAAAAAAAAAAAAAAATTAAAATTGTTTAGGGGAAGATTCGAACCCCTGGAGATTTATTGATAGGCTTAAGCTTACCCGCTAAGCTGGTAGAAATGAAATTTGCCGCGGAATCTTTGTAATTGATAAAGATAATGAAAATTTAGGAAATTAATGAGTAAGTAGGTTTAGAAAGGTCGCGTTTTTTTTTCTTTATTCAAATTTGAGGTTAAACATATGTTTATTTAGATAATTAAAAAAGTTTTGGCAGTAATAATTAATTTTTCGTCATTGTGTAAAATGTTAAAATTTTTGGGGGGGATTTAATATAATTTTTAGATAAAAAATTTTATTTTATTGAAATAAAATTTTTGATTTAATTTAAATAAAATTTTTATAATAAAAAATTTTAAGGTAGTTTTAGAACTTCAATTTTAATATATAGGATGTTTGCTAATAAATTTTGAAGCTTAAGAATTTTTTACTGATTAATATGCAAGAATATTATATTTAAAGTAACCAAGTTCGGGATTTTTAGGTTTACTTTTTATTTAAAGCATGCAAAACTTTCCGACTACCCAAATAATCTATATTATTAAGAGAATAAGAAAAATTTTGTTTCTAGAATGGTCATATGCCGAAATCGGGTTTTTTTTTAGTGAAATTTAGTGTTATTGCAAAGGTCTTGAATTTGTGTCTTTTCAAGATTTCGTTTAATTTTTATCAATAGTCGATTTATAATAATATTTAGGTTGCATTTGAAAATATCTAGATAGATAATTAAGAAATGACCTTGTATCTTGTGAAATATTGACATTTTTAATGATATAAGCTCATCTTGATGTTACACTTATCGAGACCTTTCATTTGAATACCCACATCAATTTTTCATATATTTTATATATTTATATATATTTTATATATATGTATATATATAAAATATATAAAAATTGCCATGTGGGTAATCAAATGAAAGCTCTTGATGAGTGTAACATAAAAACGAGCTTATATACGTAAAAACGTCAATATTTAAGAAAGTACAGTTCAATTTAACAAAATTAATTATTTTAATTTTTTTTAGTTCATAAGTCACATAGTGACTGTACGGATACTAGTATCTGTTATATTAAAATAATATTTTTTTAAATTAATAAAAAAAATAGCATTTTATAATTTTTATGTCGAGATATAATATATCATTTTTTTTTGGTCCATAAAAAAAATTTTTTTTTGTGTTAAATTTGACGAAAAATTTTTTACTGCGTATACACTCTAAAATTCTATATTTTAGTATTTTTTATTAACACTTAAAAAATTTTTAAAAGAATGAAAATGTTAATAATTTCTAATTAAAAAATTTTTTAAGAATTAAATATGGCTATTTAATGGTCACTACAAAATTCCGGTAATTAATAATAATAAAATTGGTATTTATAATCAAAATGACAAAATTGAGTTCCGTATAAAAGCATTGACTGATCAATACTCGGGGCTGAACAAGTATAGTCAAATAGACTCGGGAATTCTCTAAACATGGAATCCGATTGTAAATTTCTCGGTTTGTGGTAACAAGATAGCAATTGTCTGATTAAATCCTAAATATTTGTTACAATATTGAACAGCTTTCTATTTATATTGTTATTATTAATTAAAACTACTATATACCTACTTAGATAATTCTATTCTTAGATAAATATACAGGTTCTAGTATAACAATAATAATAATAATTATTATTTATTATCTAATTATTAATAAACTCTCTGTCAGTACTCTAAAATTGATAAAACATTTATTTTATAATATTCTTCTTTAAAAAAACCAAAGTCATGCCAACTTTAATTACTTAATTGATTTTGTTTCTCGCTACTAATTCTTGCCTGAATTGTTGTCGCTTGAAAAGACTCCATAACAATAATAATAATAACAACAACGATGTACGTAGCTCCCTTGAGTGTCAGCCATTTTCAGAAGTATCTTCCCAAATCACAACCTGCAAAATCTTATATCTTATCACTAATCT